CATAAGTACACACATGCCATGGTGGTTTGCTGCCTCCATCCCCCTGTCACCTACATTAGGTATTTCTCCTAATGTTATCCCTGTTATCCCTCCCCAATCTCCCCACCCCCCGCTATCCTCCCCTAACCCTCCATCCCCCAACAGACCCCAGTGTGTGATGTTCAGGAGGGGGCTTTTATTAAGCTGTCGTTACTCTGCATCCCCTGCCTTTGGAAGACCTGCTCCCTGAGCCCACCACACCCGGCTTCCCTCCGTTGCCCTGGACTCCCCTCCTCTGATCCTTCTCTTCTCAGTCCCTGAATCTTCCCTCTCTCACCTGAGTCTCTGCCTTCCTGAGTCTCTCTCTCTCTTCTCTCTCTCTCTGTCTCTCTCTCTCTCTGTGTCTCTCGGTCTCTCTGTCTCTCTCTCTGTCTCTCTCTCTGTCTCTCTCTCTCTGTCTCTCTCTCTGTCTCTCTCTGTCTCTCTCTCTGTCTCTCTCTCTCTGTCTCTCTCTCTCTGTCTCTCTCTCTGTGTGTCTCTCTCTCTGTCTCTCTCTCTCTCTCTGTCTCTCTCTCTGTCTCTCTCTCTCTCTCTCTCTCTCTCTCTCTCTCTCTCTCTCTCTCTCTCTCTCCCCCCACCCCTCAACCTCCATATCCCCCTGCCCTATCTGCATGTCTGTCTCCATCTGATTTGGGTCTTTGCCCCTGGGCCCTCTGCAGTTTCACCTCCAGCCACTGCAGCTCAGCCCCTAGCCCATGTGCCGCCCCACAGCTGCTGTCCAAGCCAGGTCTGGCCTGGGCCAGGAGGACAGGCCTCAACTCTCAGGCCCACAGTAGCTGCTGGGTTCAAAGCGTGCCACTCTCCCACCCCTCTGAGAACAGAGATGGCAACTACCCAACCCTTCCTGGTTCCCAGGTCCAGAGTCCCAGACTTTTTTTTTTTTTTTTTTTTTTTTTTTTTTTTGAGACAGAGTTTCACTCTTGTTGCCCAGGCTGGAGTGCAGTGGCGTGATCTCGGCTCCGCCTCCCAGGTTCAAGCGATTCTCCTGCCTCAGCCTCCTGAGTAGCTGGGACTACAGGCGCACACCACCATGCCCAGCTAATTTTTTGTATTTTTATTACTGATGGGGTTTCACCATGTTGGTCAGGCTGGTGTCGAACTTCTGACCTCAGGTGATTCACCTGCCTCAGCCTCACAATGTTCTGAGATTACAGGCATGAGCCACCATGCCTGGCCCCAGACTGTTTGTTTATTACAGTAGTGTGGAGAGGCTCTGAAGCAACACAACTATATCACTGTAAAAGCTTGGTGCTGGCTAGAGGCCAGCAGCCCCTCAGCAGCATGGGCAGGCTGCCAGGCAATGATGCCCCACCCCTGGAGCAGTGCAAGGCCCTGGCCCCGCTCACCTGGTGACTACCCACGTTAGCATCCTCCACAGCTGGGACTGAGGGTAATAGGCCTGGTGCAGCAGGGGTGGCAGCAGCATGCAAGATTCCCTACTAACCAGGGTGCTCAAGCCAGGCAGCTGCTGCCAACCCCACAGCCAACACAGAGCCCCTCCTGGTGGCTCTACAGAGATGGAGGGACTCCACTTCACAAGGAGCTCTCTACAAACCAGGTGAGGAGAAGAAATTCACAGAGGGGTCACAAAAGCATACACATTGACTAGATCCCAGCACACTCACTCAATAAACATAACTGAGCTGGTGGCTGCATCAGGCAAGCAGTCAGTGGGTGGATGTGTGGATGGATGAATGCATGGATGGATGCATGGACAGATGAAGAGACAGTTAGATGAACAGAGAAAGAGAGTGAGGAATGGATGGATGGATGGATGGATAGATGAATGCAGGGATGGATGGATAGAGAGATGAAGGGATGGATGGATGGATGGATGGATGGAGAGATGAAGGGATAGACAGATAAATGAATGGATGGATGGATGGAGAGATGAAGGGATAAATGGATAAATGGATGGATGGAGAGATGAAGGGATGGATGGAGAGATGAAGGGATAGATGGATAAATGGATGAATGGATGGATGGATGGAGAGATGAAGGAATAGATGGATAAATGGATGGATGATGGATGGATGGATGGATGGAGAGATGAAGGGATAGATGGATAAATGGATAGATGGATGGATGGATGGATGGAGAGATGAAGGGATAGATGGATAAATGGATGGATGGAGGGATGAATGGATGGATGGATGGATGATGGATGGTTGGATAGATGGATAGATGAATGGAATGACAGGTGGAGTCATGGTTTCCAGATTAGCATAGCCCACCATACAGGACCTTCCTTTTACTTTACCCTACCCAGAAAACCCCCTTTGCCAGGTGTTTTTTTCACCAAAGACTATTGGAACTGCCAGATACATTCCACATCTCTGAATTTTGAGCAATTTTCTATTTAGTCATTTCTGTCCCCTTTCCTCCAGAAGAGGGTGAGGAGTCCAGGTCATGGGCACAAGCTGGGTACACAGGCACAGGTGGGCAGTCAGGAACTGAAAAGCCTGCCCTAGCTGAGGCCCTGTGAGCTGATCATCATAAAGAAAGGACAGAAAGAGCCAGGCATGGTGCATACCGCCCTGCTGCCTCCAGCAGAGTTAGTGAAGCCACAGGGAGTGTTCGGGGACTTTCCCATCAGAAAATGGAATTTTTTCTTTTCTCCCTGCCGGCAGTCTCAGCCCTGAACTGGAACATGGCTCTGTTTAGGCAGAGTCCAAAAACAGGGCTTAAGCTGCACAGAGGGGTTGGAGGGAGGCCAGGAGCTGAGTGGTACAGAGGGGATAGGGAAGGTATGACTGGGAGCCAGGCCCCTGGGAGGGGACATTCTGAGGGAGGCCTGGCTGGAGGGTACCCCACCCTCTCTAGCCTATCTGTTGGGTGGCTCCCAGGAGGCTCACAGACTAATCCTAGGCAGGGCCCAGCCAGGACAGGAAAGACCCTGCAGCAGTCATGTTCTCAGAACCGCCCTACCTCACCCACTGAGGAGGTCCTGGACTTCCTGGGTGGTACATACTGGGTGCCTGAGGTGGCTAGGAGATGGGAAGAGGGCAGAGGAATCAGAGGAAGACCAACTATCTCCCCAAACTTCCCCAACTCAATGTGGTACTGTGAAGACTAAATGAGATTATATACATAAAGAGCTTAGAAGCAGTAAGCACTCAATAAGTGTTAGCCATTAGCATCTAGGATGGTGCCTGGCACAAAGCAGGCAGTTTGTTGAAGGAATGAATGAATCCTGCCCCCGCTTAACTCCTCTACTTCAGATACTGGAGAATTGGAAACAATGTTGTCTCTACAGCTGCTGTGGAAGGTATGTACACATTAAATTCATTCCCACCCTAGGGCCTTTGCATTTGCTCTTCCCTCTGCCAGGAGTGATTTCCCACACATTTTCACACAGTTCAGTCTCTCACTCGATTTCGATCTCTGCAGCTGAAAATAAGAAAGGGCTCTGACCACTGCCTGATGAGAGAGAGAGCTCCCCACTTCCCAAAGTTGTCTCTCCTTCTCCAGTCCAGGACCCTCACCAAGTCCATAAACACAACACACACACACACACACACACACACACACACACACACGTATAACCAGACAATCCTGACCAGACAGCCTCAGTGTCCCTACCCTATCCAGGGCTGGTCTTGAGCCAACAGGGATTCTGGCCTGGCAGGTGGTCCCACCCATCTGCTGATGGCCATCAATGTCCCTGCAGGGCAAGGGCTCACTCAACCCACAGTAGAGGTCATGCCCTGTTCCCAACCGTCTGTTCTCCCAACTGGCCTTGGCAAAAAACACAGTATCATGCAAACAGTAGACTCAATGAACCAGGATTTAAGAATTCTTGATGTGCCACTTCAGAAAAAAACAATTTTACTACTAGCTAGGCGTGGTGGTGCATACCTGTAATCCAAGCTACTCAGGAAGCTGAGGCAGGAGAATTGCTTGAACCCAGGAGATGGAGGTTGTGGTGAGCTGAGACCACGCCACTGCACTCCATGGACAACAAGAGCAAAACTCCATCTCAAAAAAAAAACCAAAATACTTTTACTGAGCACTTACTGTGTGCCAGCCACCATGTTAAGCTGTCTACACACTTGAGCCCATTTCACTCACAAAAACAAAATGATGTTGGTTTTATCCTTATTTTACATCTAGCTGAGGCAGAATAAACTGGTCAAGTGCTTGGGCTCTGGAATGAAACAGAGCCTGGTTCAAACCTAGACTCCTCCACTCACTTGCTGTGTGACCTTGGGCAAGTTACTATAGCTCTCTGATCTCTGCTTCTCTCCTATAATGAGGAGATAAGACAGCCATTGCCTGTCAGGGCCCTTGTGAGGAGTAAAGGTGATAATGGATGTAAGTATCACATGGTGCCAGGCACAGAGCCTCCACCAAGGTCGGGGTCTGTCCTTCCCTCCTTATCTCACCAGTTCTCCTGCCAAAGTTTGCAGGCTAGGACTGATCTTCTCCACAGTTCCAGGCACAGGGCTGGGCATTGACAGCACACAGAAAATTCTTGCTGATTGGCAGATTTTCTCAATTCCTGTCCCAGGCCTTGATTACAGAGAGTGCTGCCTTTCTCAGAGCATTGAAGCAGAGGACTCCTCCCCTGGGCAGCTCCAGGGGTCAGGCACTCTGCAGAGACAGCCTCTGAACTCTGCCTCATTTGGATGCCTTTCCCACCACCATGAGTCCTAGAACCTGAGCTTGGTTCCCACCCAGAAAGTGTGGCCACCACCCAGGCTCCTCCAAGACCATGGCCCACTGTGTCCCCACAGTCACTCGCCCCAGTGCCTGGAGCTCTGACCTGCCTCCAGCCCCTTGGCTGGACCCTGCCACATGCTAACAGACATCCCCCACTCACACCAGCTGCCCAATTCACCCCATAATACCAGGCTCCAGTCTGCTCACTACACCCTCTCTGGCTGCCATCCACTACCCATGGCTGCCACTTTCAACCCACCCAAGAACCCCCAAGTGCTCACATGGAGCCTGCAGCCACATCCATGCCAGCCATGCCCCTGAAGGCTGGCAGAAAAATCACACAGGCACTTTGACATTAATCAAAGACACTCATAAATAAATATGTGTAAATTGTATGCAAATCAAGGTAGAATTTTACATCTTTCTCTGCTGAGTCAGCATCTCAAGGCACCAGGGAGGCTGCCTGTAGTTCAGGAGATTTGGGACAAGAACACTTAGTATCTAGGAGTCCATTGAACAGTCCCAGATTCATCACCTGAAGTTTTGTAACTTCCAAGTTTGAAGAATCAACTACCATCTGCTGATTGCCTGCTACACCCCACACATTCTCCTACATACTAGCTGCTACAGGTATGAAATGAGATAGCATGTAAAGTGCTTTGACGTGCTTACTGCTGGCACCTGTAAGAACCCAATATATATGAGCTATGATTAACATCCTCCAGTTTAACCCTCACAATAACAATAATCATTAGTAAAACTACCATTAATAATACCAGTCATAATTGCTCTCATCGATTGGGTGCTTCCTAAGCCACAAGCTCTCCATGAGTAGCAGATAGTGCTGGCACTCCACCCCCATTCCTCCAGGCCCTACCATTTCGGTGTACTCCAGCCTGACTTCCAACTGCTTGCAGCTGCATCTTTGCCTGGGGGCTTCTTCTGGTCTCCAGGAGCCTGCTCTGTCCTCCCGAGGCAGGCCCAGAGTGCTGGAGAATTAACCTCCACCCCAACCCCAGAATGACTGATATGTCAGTAGATAAGCAGCCTGCCTCCCTCATCTAGCAAGTGGGGTAACTCTGAGAACTGTGTTCAACACAGACAGCCAGTGGTCCTCAGTGGACCAGTCACCCACAGCATAACTGGCAACTTGCTCCATGAGACTCCCTCTGTGGGCTTCCCCATCTCACAGGCCCACTCCCTACCAGCGTTTCCTAGAATCACTTCCCTGCCTGCGTTCAAATCCTTATCTTGGGATCTGCTTCTGGGGAAACCGAAATATGCATATCTCATTGGACCCTCATTAGAACGCTAAGAGGTTGAAATTCACCCTTAGCAGGATGTCAGACTCCTGGCCGCGTTCTACAAGGACCTGCTAGGTGTGAGTCACCTCCCTCTTGGACGTAAGCTCCGGCTGCTCTCTCCTCTGCCACTCTGCTCCAGCAATGCCAGCTGCCTCCTATTCCTTGGACACACAAGGGCACCTTGGCGCCTCACAGTCTTCCCTGCCAGGACACTCTTTCCATGGCTCTCAGCATGACTGGCCCTTCTCATCCCCAGGCCTCAGCTCCCACATCACATCCTCAGGTTTTCTCAACCACTGCATCTAGGCCTCTCCAGCAGCTCTATCATAGCATCCTATGCAGTCTTACTACAATCTGTAGTCATCTTCTGCAAAAGTATTTGTTTCCTGTCTGATTCTCTTCCCTCCTCTTCTAAAATGTACATTCTCTGAGGACAGTGGCTTTGTCTATCTTTTTCATGGCTATACCCCCAATACTTGGCCCAAAAGAGGTGATGAAAAATATTAGTTGAGGCCGGGCACAGTGGCTCACACCTGTAATCCCAGCACTTTGGGAGGCCAAGGAGGGTGGATCACCTGAGGTCAGGAGTTCCAGACCAGACTGGCCAACATGGTGAAACCTCGTCTCTACTAAAAATACAAAAAAAAAAAAATTAGCTGTTTGTTGTGGCAGGTGCCTATAAGCCCAGCTACTTGGGAGGCTGAGGCAGGAGAATTGCTTGAACCCAGGAGGCAGAGGTTGCAGTAAACTAAGATCACACCACTGCACTCCAGCCTAGGCAACAGAGCAGGACTCTATCTCAAAATTTAAAAAAAAAAAATTAGTTAAAGTGGAAGGACAAACTATTTGTAGACTGGGTACAGTGGCTCGTGCCCATAATCCCAACACTTTGGGAGGCCCAGGTGGGAAGGTCGCTTGAGCCCAGGAGTTCAAGACCAGCCTGGGGAACCTAATGAGGTCCGGTCTCTACAAGACATTTTTGTAGAGATGCACCCCAGCTACTCAGAAGGCTCAGGGGGGAGGATCACTTGAGCCTGGGAGATCGAGGCTACAGTCAACTGTGATCGTGTCACTGCACTCCAGCCTAGACAACAGGTGAGACCCTGTCTCAAAACACACACACATACACACACAACTATTTGTACTGTATTCCTGTGTTAAAGTTGAGAAAAGTATGGCTACTTTTCAGCAAATTGCCCCTGGTCACACAACTGGTAAGAAGCAGCACCTTTACTCAGCATCAGCTCTGCCTATCTCTAAGCCCATGATCTGAACCACAGGGGTACTCTCTTTTCATTTTACAGATGGGGAAAACTGAAGCACTGGGAGGTTTGCCAGGAGCCGCAGCAGGGACTTGAGCAGGTCTCCAAGCTGTAAAACCAGCGCTCCTTCCCCTATACCTCAGGCCCCACCCAACACTCCCCCAAAACCACAGCCTAATACACAAATCCTCCTGCAGCATTCCTGAGAGGAGCTAATGTGCCTTTATTTCAATTCCTCCAGAGTCAGGGAGCTCAGTCTGTGACAAGGCGGTCCTTAGAATGGGTAACCCAAACCCTGGCTCCGTAAAATGTCCATGGCTTGATCTGAATTCTGCTCCTTTGGGTCACAAAGAGTTTATCTACTCCCTGGGGCCCAGGACAGCCCTGCAGACAGTCAAGACGGAGAAGCTACAATCTCAATGTCCATCAGTAGTGTTTAAATAAATTACAGTGCATCAACACAACAAATACTCTACAAGCCATTTCAAAAGGATAAGGTGGATGAGATGTATGAAAAAATAGACACACATTCAAAATACACTGCTAATTTAAAAACACAAATTACAGGCCAGACACAGTGGCTCATGCCTGTAATCCCAGCACTTTGGGAGGCCGAGGCAGGTGGATCACCTGAGGTCAGGTGTTCAAGACCAGCCTGGCCAACATGGTGAAACCCCATCTCTACTAAAAATACAAAAATTGGCTGGACATGGTAGCGGGTGCCTGTAATCCCAGCTACTTGGGAGGCTGAGGCAGGAGAATTGCTTGAATCCGGGAGGCAGAAGTTGCAGTGAGCCAAGATCGAGCCACTGCACTCCAGCGTGGGCGACAAAACAACACTCTGTATCAAAAAACAAAAACAAAAAAAAAGTTAAAAAAACACCATATGCACTGTGGTTCCATCTTCTGTACATAATATATTCATAGATATCTATACAGATTACTGCCTAGATAACCTTGGCAAGTTTGAGTTCAACTCTCTGAGCCTCAGTTTCTTCATTTGTAAAATGAGAATAATAGTTGCAGTTAACCCACATTGTTTTTGTAAGGATGCAAGGCGTAAACTCAGGTCGAAGAACTTAGCACAGTACCTGCACTTCATAAGCCCTCGATAAACCTAAGCCACTATTATTAACTACTGCGTGTCCACACAAACAAGTTCTGGAAAGAGAGAGCCAAGGAGTAGTTATGAGGAGTGAGGCCGAGAGCCGGATGGAGGACTTCCATTTTCTATTTCGTATACTACTTTTCTAGTGTCTACAAATGAGCTTGTATTGTTTTTATCATCGGCAAAAACCATAGAGATATTCCTATCTGGTGGAATAAAAGCCACAAAAGCAGAGACCATGTCCTCGGAACATTCAGTTCTCAGCTACCTCATCACGGTTCCACATGGCCCCCTACTCTGGTCTCTGTTCCCATACACATTCCTAGGGATCCATGTCCCTCTGAAGCTGGTCAGGTGCCAGGGTGTCCCGACCAGTGAGAGCAGCTTGCTCTGGATACCGCATTGATACTGATAACACTTTGTGTGACTTTCCCTCTCTGACAAGACAAGCATACCTAGGACCCCTGTAACCTCTCCATTCGAGCTGAGCCAGGCCTCTGTTCTACCACCTGCCCTCAAGGAGCTGGGTTTGGACCCAGGTCAAGGTCCTGACATTTGCCCAACACAGTCCTCCTTGTTAGACTTAGTCCCATCCCTGCAGCCCACGGAGAAGCTATTATGTCTGGATTCATTGCTGCCCCCTGACCTTCACTGCACTTTCCCACTCCTGTCAGCAGCAAATGCATCAAGTCCTACCAGCCTATATGTCTTCATCTTGGTCACAGATAAAGAATCTTGGGCAGGACATGGCTTCATCAGGCTCTTGTCCAAGGCATTCTGGGTCCGTTACCCAGCCCCTTTGACTACAGTCAACCCACCAGGTATTAAAAAAACATGCCCTCTTCTCTGAAGCCCATTTCTTCTGAGGCTGAAAACCAGTGTCTATAGATTCCCTTTTATCCCCCCATTTTAAAAAAGAAGGAAATGAGATCACAGCGGCACAACCTGTGGTCCTTCAGCAGGCATTCTTTATTGGTGCCTACTATGGACCAGGAATTGAGCTGGGTGCTGGGGGTCAGAAATTAAGCAGATCCAGACCCAGAGCCCCAGAGCTCACAGTCCCATGGGAGAGACAGACACATGATGAATTAATGACAGTACAGGCCTATAAAGGCTAATGCGCAAATGGACTGCAGAAGCAGGACAGAGGCTGTGGCTTAGTCTAGAGGGAAAACTTCCCAGAGCTGGTGAAGCTTGTACTGGGATTTGAAGGATGTAAAGCAGAGACAGTGGACGTCCCAAGGACAGAGAACCATCTGTGCAGAGATAAGGGGTCTTAGAAGGGCCCGGTGTGTTTGTAGGAACAGAGATCGGTGCAGCTGGATTCAGAGGGTTGGCAGAGGTAGGATTACCAGGGACTTTGGGCCTGATGACGTATATAACAGGGAACAATAGAAGGGTTCTCGGGAGCCAAGTGCCAAATGACATGTCCAAGTTGTGTCTTAGTGGGAATACTGTGACCTGACTCAAGTATCTGGATGAGGGATTGGAGGGAGGGAGAATCATCCTAGACCAGTCACCAGATTTTATAACCTAACAATCCTCTCATGTATTCTTTTGACTTTGGTTTCCCAGAGCCACTGGGGTGTAGGCTTTGGCCAGTGCTCAAGGTACCCAGAGCAACCAGGCCAATGGGCCTACAATGGAAGGTAAACTGAGGCATTCCACCTATGATCCCTTTTCCTGGTAGAAAGGAGAACAGGGACATGAGCCCTGCACACACTCTGTTCAGCCGCAAACCAAAGTTGAGACTCAGGAGTGATTTTATCTGTGATGACAAGTGCATCCCTGGGCTTGTATTGATCCAGGCCCAGCAGTCGTCCCCAGGTTAAACACACATCCAGGGCTCAAACAGACATTGCCCCCAGGCCAGGAGAATGATGTACCAAGCCCAGACAGATGTTGTACCAGGTTCAAACACATGTCCTGAGCCCAGACAGAAGCAGTCCTGGGGCCAGATAATGTGCTGGGCTCAGCCAGGTGTCCCAGCCTCAAACAGATGTTGTCTCCAGCCTAGGCAGATGCTACCTTAAGCTCAGACAGATGTCTGCCACCAGAGATATATAAAGATGCTGAGAGGTCCCTGGGAAAGTATAATTCCTAAATCCTCCTTTACCCCTTCCACCCTCCACCTGCTACCCCCAGGAAAGCTGAGAAAGGTCAGCAATGAGCCCAGCCAACTCTCCCCAGACCTTCCCACCTTGCAAAAGCCAAGTAAGTAGTTGTATCATTCTGTTCTTCCCCCAACTCCAGGCTAGACTACTACATGGAGGGGAGGGAGAGACATACAGTGGGATGACGAATGAGGCACATGTACAGGCGTACAGGGTACCTGGGCCATCTGGGGAGTAGTGGACAGTGATGCCCAGGCTAGCCAAGCTGACTGTATTGGGAGAGGGAGATGCAGTAGGTTAGAAGAAAATGTGGGTTAATGTAAGGACCGGGCCCATTAAATCCCACCTCAAACCTCCCACTCTGTGACTAGAGGGGAAAGGAAAGTCCTGTGACCTTATCCCCATACACACATGCCCTGCTCAGCACCCAGGGAATATGATTACTGGGTCATGTGAAGGCAATTACTACTCCAAAGCTGGGCTGCATTAAGCTAGGGAGAAAGAGAGGACTAAGGAGGCTGATCCAGCGTGAACACAGAATGGAGAGATGGTCCAATTTATCAGCTTGACCCTGGTTGGAAGAATAACTTCCTTCCCCAAGATCCCTCACAGGAGCATCCAGGACCTGACAGCTTCCTGATAGGAGCAGCCAAATCGCTCTTATCCCTATTGGAAGTTAGAGTTATGTGTCCTGTGGCTATGCAGAGGTCGGGTTTCAGGAACTTCGAGTGTTGGAGGTTCCTGAGCCATGGGGTAGAGGAGGCAGCCACTATACCTAGGACTGGGGAGTAAGAGGTGTTAACAGTGAGAGCCTGACCTCCTCCATCTGCCCTGAGAGGTCTCCCACTTGGGCTCAGACTGAGTCTCTTCAAGAGGAGAGTTCCCCAAGATAACAGGAAGCTAGCTCATGAATATGTAAATCAACCTTGAGCCACACACACCCCCAGCAGGTGCTGGTTGGGACTTCCCTCCTGTTCTACCTTCTTCCTCTAGGGAGCTACCCTGACGCTGAGGGTGCGGTGTGGTCTCCCACCAGAGGGGATGTACTCACACAATAAAATGGTATCCCAAAAACATACTCTCGAATAGAATTATTGACACAATTACAAACCAAGTGCCTGACACTAATACAAACCAAGCAAAAGCACTCTAACACAAGCGCATGAATACTTACAGGCATCTATAAAATGGAAACACACGAATTCATGCAAGCAAAAGCACCCTATCACAAGCGCATGAATACTTACAGGCATCTATAAAATGGAAACACGAATTCATGCAAGCATGGTAACATAAAGTCCCCACATATACAAGCGCACCAAGCCACCTACACACTATTATAAACATCATAACACCCATAATCTCAAGGAAACTGCCCTCCCTTCCTCCCACCCCACCCAAACTGCCTTAGTACCACCCTTCAATTGGACTACAAAGTCAACCCAGACCCAGAAAGGCATCTCACTTTTCTAATGATGGTGACGAAGACTTAAATTATCATCCTCTGCTCCCACCCTACCCTGTGGTGGTGAATTTTGCAGCCATCCAGATAAAAAGTATATTTAAAAAAAAAAAAAAAAGAAAGAAAGAGACTAAAACATAGCCCCAGCCTTTCAGAGTGATTAATCCCTGCTAATGATTTACCGATTTGCAGAGAGCATGTTCTGCATAACCGGATTGTGGGCATTAACACCAGCTCAAAGGCTGACATTCTGCTAAAAATGAAAGTAAATTTCAAGAGCAATTGACCACCCCTAATTTGAATATTCTACTGACACACTGGGAGGACCCCTACCCACACCCATAAGCTTAGAGGCTGAGGCAGGAAAAAGAAAATACAAGGAAAGATTCATCCCAAAGAGATATTTCACCTTCCATCCCTCCTTCCCTTCACCAAGACCTGAGAATTAAGTAAGTTAGATGGCTCCTTTCTCTTCTGCCAAAGGCAGCAACAGCTCTGATACTAATCCTTTCCTCTGCCTTGGGCTCTGAGATCACAGAAAGGACAGAAGAATTGGACACCTGGAGGGGCTGAGATTAGAGGGAAAGAAGAAGGGGCTTTGAGGGCTCAGAAGGTTGAGCTCATCCTATATGGGGAGAGCTTTAGAATGATGGCAAGCACTATGAATCTGTCTAGCTAGCACCTACTCTCGCCAAGGTAGTGACCCTGGCACCCTTCTAAGACTAGGAATTTATGACAGCCAGGACCCTGCCAGACTCTTCCAGTCAAAACCACATTCCAGCTCAGAATGAGCGGGCAGCAAGCCCCAGTGGGTGTGGTCCCTCCTCATACTCTTTAGCAAGAACTGGTTAGGGGAGCAAGCATGTTCCACCCCTGCTCACACAGCCTCTTACTCACCCCAGATGGCCGGCCAGAGAGGGAAATCAAACCACACTTTCTCTTTCCAAGTTTCCTTCAAGCAGTGATCTCACCCCCATCTTCTCAAGCAGCCAATAGAGACCATATTGCCCAGCTTTCAAATGAGGATACAGAGGGTCACAAAGGTTAGGAGGCTGACACTGGCCCAATAGGAGCCCTGAGTCAGGGCCAAGATGGAACCCAGGACCCTTGACTACCAAGCCAGACCACTCTGAAAAGGCAAGATCCAGGTCATAAGGAGACTGGCAGGAGAGAAAGGAAGTGGCCCACGAGTGCTATGCTGGTCCAGCCAGCCTCAACATCTCAAAGCCCATACATTCAGGAGGCATCCTGAGACACACAGCCCGTCCGGCAGCACTTCCCATGGGCCCCATCCATCTCTCTTCTTTTCTTCTCTGCATTCCTGACTTGTAAGGAATCCACACAGAGCATATTGGAGCCTGTCTTCCCCAGCACTGAAAAGGCCTGAGGTCTGAAACTGCATCTGCTCTCAGCCCATCCTGGACTCCTCAGCAATTGATCTATTTGCAGAAGAGAGCTCAGAGGCTCAGAAACCAAAGGAAGAAAGCAGCCAGACCCAGCTGCCTCCAGGAGATGCAGAACAAGGCTGTTCCTCTTTCTCCTTCCCAAAGCTGTGCTCCGTGTGCCATTGTTAGCCCCCCTGTCATCTGGGATGTGTCTGGAATATTGCCCTGCGTATGTGGCCGCCAGAGTGCTGATGTTGACCACCTCGTGAGTATAGTTGATTCTAGGGCCCATGTCTGTAACCCAGAGCTTTGCGGAAAGAATATAAGAAGCTGGAGATTGTGTAGCCTGCCCTTCATCCCTGCAGAGCCTCCCTCCCACTCCCAGCCCCCCACAGCCCCTGGTTCAGAGACCCCCCACAGTGAGGGCCCCATCTGCTGGAGGCTCGGTGACCTGTGTCAAATGAGCAGGCGCTCGGTCACACTCCAGAGCCTGGAGGAGGCCTCTGTGCTCTGGGAAAGCCCAAGCAGATCCTGCCTGGGGGCGGGCTGGGCAGAGGCCCCGCTGGGGAGGGAGGCCCAGGAGCCTCTGAAACTGGCGGCCGCCTGGCTGGGAGCTGCCCTCCACAGACAAGGAGAGTGGGAAAAAATATGAAAAGAAAAGCCTTCCCTGTTTTCCTGGGACTAGCGCTGCATGCAACCAAACCATGCAAACCAAACTCTGGATTGGACACAGCCCCTTCCTCTGCTTTCCGATCCCCTGTGTGAAGCTGTATTTCTTACAGGGTGTGGGTGGATATGTCTGTGTGTCTCTGTGATGTGTGTGGTGAGCCTCTTTGTATCTGTGCATCTGGGTGAGAGGATGTGCATGGCTGGCTACGTGTGCTCATGTGTGTGAATATGATGGTGGGCCTATGTGTGTGACTCGGCAGGCCAGCTGAGAGTCTTCTTGTCTGTGGCCCCAAGAGCCTGTAGGTTTCATGTATCTCTGTGTCAGCAAAGCAGTGCCTACTTGAGCCTATTTCAGCCTATGTGTGGGTTCTGTGTATCTCCCCGTTTAGACACATGCCTGTATTTACCACTGGGTGTTGCTTTGTGTGACTATGAATATTCCGCCTAATGGTGTGAGTCTGTGTGTTCCTATTGTGAATCTGTATGTTCGGTCTTGTGCTAAATTGTATGGTTATATCTGTGTGTGTGTGTGTGTGTGTGTGTGTGTGTGTGTGTGTGTGTGCGCGCGCCTGTTTTCATGCCCACACCACTCTGTGTCTACATGGGTAAGGTGGGTGTCTGACCTCTGTGTGTACACCTGCCTATGTGTTGTGGGTCTGAGGGTGAGGGCCTGAGAAGGTGGTGCTCCAGGAGAAAGGGGCTGCTCAGCTGCAGGTGTTTCTGCCAGTGGCCATATCTCGGCCCTAGTGTCCCAAACAGAATCTTGAGAAGGATGTCAAGACTTCCCGGGGGAAACTTAACTCTAACACGAGAAAATTCTGACTCAAGACCAAACCCATATCCTTTTAGAAGGTCTAAAATTTCCAAAGCAGAGAAAGGAATTTTATCTTCCCTACTTCAACCTGCTTCCCACCCCAGGGCAGCATCTAACATTCAAAGGGCACCTAAATTGGATGCCTTATTTCATTCTTGGAGCCTCAGAGCAGCCCTGAGAAGCAGGCATCATTGTTCTCACTGTAAGATGCACAAACTTAAGCTCCAAGAAGCAATGCAGCTCACACAAAGTCACAGGGCTGCTAAAGGGTGTGGTGGAACTGGGACTTTGATTTGCTGGGTGATAATCTAGAAGCCTGGCTACTGCTTTGCTGCGAATGCCCCTCAATTCAGCACAGACCTGGGAAGATGGCTTCAGGAGTGCTGGCAGGCCCTGGCCTGCCCTTGAGACCTGCTAGAAACAGGGCTGTGGGCTCTCTTTGCTGTGCCAGCCAAAGCTGCTGCCTCCACAGGCCCCCATCCCATGGTAATGAGGAGAATGATGAGTGGAAACTCACAGGTCCTGTGCCATTGGACAAATCTTGGGTTCCTTATCTAGGCAATGAAGATAATCTCAGTGCTCTCTTACAGGGCTGAGAGGTACAGTAAAATGATAGATGTTAAAGTACTTGTTAAAACACCATGCCTGTATGTATACCTATATAACAAACCTGCACATTCTGCACATGTATCCCAGAACTTAAAGTATAATCTAAAAAAACAAAAAACAAAAAAACACCGTGTCTGTTGATCATTGTTCTTCCAGCCTTAGTGGCAATTCCAAAGGCTGGACATTGAAACCTCTGTCCACTGTCCAGACATTTCCCCTCCTCCAACAGGAACTTCGACAGATTACAGAATCACCAACCATGAGAGTGAGAAATGCCAGAGAGGTCAACTGGTCCAAACCTCCGCAATCCCGTGCTACAGGTGAAGAAACTGAGATTTAGTTGGAAAGGGGGAATGCATTGCCCCCTCACTGAATAGCAACAACAGAAACAACCAGAGTAAGCACCCATCTGAGAGCTTTACACCCCCATTGCCTCACACCACTATCTGACCTACCTTGGTGAGAAAGGCTGCCTATATTACTGTTATTCCCAACTTACAGGAAGGAAAACCCAGAGCTAGTAAGAATGGATCAGAGTTACTCCTGCCCAGGAAGATGATGGCAGCTCCAGGTTGAAAGACTAAGCTTCAATATCACACAGGCCTGGTTAGGGCTGGCATGAGAGGAGACTTCACTGCAGGATTCCCAGCCTACCTCCTACCTCCTGGACCTGGGAAAGGGGGCAGGAAGGTGAAGGGCCTGGATTGCCTCAAGGTGACCATTTCCTGGGCCAGAGTCCAGTAAAGCCCAGTATCTCTAGCTGGGTTCAGACACAGAACTCCATCACAGCTCTTACAGGTAGGGTGGGACCATGGAGCCTGCTCAGGACAGTGACCAATGGCCAGACAAGGGCCCTGCTCTATCCCACTCCTTCTCTGGCTGGTCCTAGGCCATTCAGGGCCCACATGATCAAAGTCAGTGCCCAGGGTGATTCCTGTCACTGTCAACTCTGTCCCAGCCACCCTGGATTGTTCCAATGCCATCTGCCACCTGAGCCCCCAGGACCTTTTTTCAAACATTGAGACTTTATTACACAGACCTGACTTGCTCAGTGGGCCCCTGGCCGGGCCCCCAGCAGCTCAGTTCTGTGATCTGGGACCCCAGGGCCCTGTAAGCTATAAATCCACTTGAGGCAAGATCCAGGAGAGGAAAGTGAGAGGACTGGCAGCTGAAGACTACACCCTCGGTGTAGAGTAGAGGAGAGAACACAGCTCAGTCCCCTCAGCCTGGGGCCCAAGGTCGGGTAAGGAGGCACAGAGGAACTGCAGTGAGGTCCGACTCCACTCAAGATCCTTCAGTGGGTCCTCAAGGGCTGGGGCGTGAGGCGGTAGCTGAATTCCACTGCCCACCTTTCCAACAAGGTCTCCTTCATCTCAATTCCCTTTTCAGCAGCTCCAGGCAAGTCCGGGGAAACTCCAGCCCGGGGCTCCTGGTGAAGCTGGACAGCTCCCGGCCTGCACGTCGGATTTCTGGAGTGCCCGCGGCCCTTCCCTGAGTCCATCCTTCTCCTCTCCTCTCTCGGGAGGTGACCCCACCATGACCACAGCCGATGAGCCGTTCAAGCTGGGAGAAGGAGCGAGAAGGCTGCAACGGAGCAGGTCGGATACCCCTGGGCCCAATGTCCACCCCTCACTAGCGCCCTTGCCAGCAGCGTTTTCCCCGGAGCCACAGTCTCCACCTCGAGGTCTTCTCCTTCCGGAACCCCGGAGCGCGGCCAGGTACCGGGGGCTCGCGTAGGACTGTAGAACCGCTGCCGCCCGCCGCCCCAGCCTCAGCCGCCCGCGCGGTACTCACCTGGGCCACAGCGCCCGGGAGAAGGGGTGCCCGCGCGAGGCGTGAAGCCCGAGTCCGTCCGACTCTGCCCGCGCCGGACGCGCTATCAGGACAGCAGAGGTTGGCGGAGTTGCGACGCTGGAACTATAGGGAGGAGAAGGAAAGCCGAGACGGGCCAGGCAGACGCGCCGAGGAGCGCCCGGTGCGCGCTGGCAGCCGCGGGAGGAGAGGCGGGCGGGCGCGGTGAGCAGTCGCGCCGGAACCGAGCCGGGAAACCGCGCCGCCTCCCGCTCGCAGCCGCCAGGACCCGCGGGAATCCTGGTCCGCCGGCAGCGGTACTGCGGTGGGAGGGGCGCGGGGCTGAGCCGCTTCTCGGAGCCCGAGCGCCTCCCGGAGCCCGCGATCCCGGCTGCCCGGGCGGGATGCGGGCGGAAATTCAACTTGCGTGGAATGTGGGACCGGCCGGGCTCGAAGTCTCCAGCGCTGGGGGAAAGCTGGGCCCACACAGCCAGGACGAGAGGGGGTGCGGTCCCAGGGCCACCCCCGCGCCACTCCCCACGTGGCGGCCGCGCCCCCGGGGCGTGAGTGTGTACGCGGACGATAGAGGGGCCGTGAATGAAGCCCCAGCGGCCAATCAGCACGGCCGGCGCGCGGGACCCCGGGAACGACGCCCAATGGAGAGCTCTGGGCGGCCTAGCGGGGCGGCGGGCGGGAGCGGGGGGCGGGGGCCGAGGCCGGGGGGCGGGAGGCGGCTCCGCGGGCAGCCAATGGGCGGCGGGAGGGGTGGGGCTCCGGAGCGCCGAGCGGGTCGGGTCTTTAAGCCGGCGGAGCGAGGCGGCGGGGCCCGCAGACGGAGCGGAGCGGCGGCGGCGGCGGCGCGGCGCAGGGTGCGGGGCGGCATGGCCACCACCGCGCAGTACCTGCCGCGGGGCCCTGGTGGCGGAGCCGGGGGCACCGGGCCGCTCATGCACCCGGACGCTGCGGCGGCAGCGGCGGCGGCGGCGGCCGCCGAGCGACTGCACGCAGGGGCCGCGTACCGCGAAGTGCAGAAGCTGATGCACCACGAGTGGCTGGGCGCGGGCGCGGGCCACCCCGTGGGCCTAGCGCACCCCCAGTGGTTACCCACCGGAGGAGGCGGCGGTGGCGACTGGGCCGGCGGCCCGCACCTAGAACACGGCAAGGCAGGCGGCGGCGGCACCGGCCGAGCCGACGACAGCGGCGGCGGCGGAGGTTTCCACGCGCGCCTGGTGCACCAGGGGGCGGCCCACGCGGGCGCGGCATGGGCGCAGAGCAGCACGGCGCACCACTTGGGCCCGGCCATGTCGCCGTCGCCCGGGGCCGGTGGGGGCCACCAGCCCCAGCCGCTCGGGCTGTACGCGCAGGCGGCCTACCCGGGGGGCGGCGGCAGCGGCCTGGCCGGGATGCTGGCGGCGGGCGGTGGCGGCGCGGGGCCGGGCCTGCACCACGCGCTGCACGAGGACGGCCACGAGGCGCAGCTGGAGCCGTCGCCGCCGCCGCATCTGGGCGCCCACGGACACGCACACGGACATGCACACGCGGGCGGCCTGCACGCGGCGGCGGCGGCGCACCTGCACCCGGGCGCGGGCGGCGGCGGCTCGTCGGTGGGCGAGCACTCGGACGAGGATGCGCCCAGCTCGGACGACCTGGAGCAGTTTGCCAAGCAGTTCAAGCAGCGGCGCATCAAGCTGGGCTTCACGCAGGCCGACGTGGGGCTGGCGCTGGGCACACTCTACGGTAACGTGTTCTCTCAGACCACCATCTGCCGCTTCGAGGCCCTGCAGCTGAGCTTCAAGAACATGTGCAAGCTCAAGCCGCTGCTCAACAAGTGGCTGGAGGAGACCGACTCGTCCAGCGGCAGCCCCACCAACCTGGACAAGATCGCGGCGCAGGGCCGCAAGCGCAAGAAGCGCACGTCCATCGAGGTGGGGGTCAAAGGCGCTCTCGAGAGCCACTTTCTCAAGTGCCCCAAGCCCTCGGCGCACGAGATCACCGGCTTGGCCGACAGCCTGCAGCTGGAAAAGGAGGTGGTGCGCGTCTGGTTCTGCAACCGGCGGCAGAAGGAGAAGCGCATGACCCCTGCGGCCGGCGCGGGCCACCCGCCCATGGACGATGTTTACGCGCCTGGGGAGCTAGGGCCCAGCGGGGGCGGCGCATCGCCACCCTCGGCGCCCCCGCCGCCCCCGCCGGCGGCGCTGCATCACCACCACCACCACACACTGCCCGGCTCTGTGCAGTGACCCTGCGGGCCGGGCCCCCGCCGGCGCGTTGCAGGGCGCGGGCGCGCAGCCCGCCCGCGCGGCCTGGACTCTTTTTGTTCAGTTGCTTTGGATTTTACAAAAGAAAAAAAAAAAAAAAGCCCAGAAACTTTCGAACAAAACCAAACACCCGGACGACCCTCTCCCGTGAGCGGCGAAGACGGCCGGTAGGCTGCGTCGCCCGAGCCCCGGGAGAGAGGAGCGAAGATCCGGAACTCGCCAACTCACCCCGGGCATCCTGCCCGTCGCCTGCTCTCTACCCCCATCCCCTCGACGACCCCCGCCCCTGCCCCCCGGGCTGTTCGGGGCCGGATCCCGGCAGCGGCCTCCCCAAAGCGACAGGTAACGCGGTGCGGGGTTAGGGATTCCCCGGGAGAGAGGACGAAGCGAGGAGAGTTCTCCATCCCCTCTCCCGGCGTGGGCTCCTGAGCCTGCGGGTCTAGGGTGGGGGGGGCTGTCACTTTATTCGCTACACGCCTCTTCTCTCCTATAAGGATGCACCCCACCCCCTTTTCCCCTTTCTCCGGGCTTGGTTTTTTACGGTTTTTATTTATTCGTGGAGCCTCTCACCTCCTGGGGTCCTTCTAACTCCGCCCGCGCCCTTAATTTAAATCGCTGTATACTGTATTTATCGGGGCCCCAGAGGGGAGGTCGCGAGAGCCGCGTCTGTGTATAAAAGCAGGAAATAGCCAAAGCTTTAATCTAGACTAATTTATTTTTCCCTTTCTTTCCCTACCCTCCCCTCAAAAAAAAGCAAAAAAAAAAAAAAAAAACTAACAAAAAAAATTTCGAGTGTTCATTTTTCGTTTCGTTTCATCCGAGCCCCGGCTTGGTTCCCGGCCACGCGGGAGGGGTCTGCGCTCCCACACACCCAGATGGGAAGGGACTTCTGCCCTGCGGCAGACCGACCGCACAGCGGGGCCCCTGCTCCCCGCGGGGCCCTGCCTTCCTGGCCACACCAAACGAAACTTGGAAAAGTTGGAGAGATTTTTTTTTAACCAGCTGTAGAAATAAGCCGTTCCCTGAGAACCCTCCGCCTGATTCCCTGCAGCTTCCCTCTGCTCCCTTTCCAGCCCGCCGGGATGCGGGATGCCAGGGGAGGCCGGGAGAAAAATTCCCCAACTTTGGGGTGAGGTGGGAACCATGTAAATATGTGAGATATGTACACACTGGCGGGGAGAAGAAACATTTTGTGCTTGGTTTTTATTTTTGGTTTTCCGGGTTACCCTTCCTTCCTACCCTAAAGGATTTTGTACACTGACTAATCCGAAAAAGATATTTTAATATGATTTCCAAATTTCTGACCCATCTCTATTTATTTTCTGGATGTGTTTGGAGCTTCCCCCTTCTCCATTTCTTTTTCTGTTTGTTAAGGTTTGAATTTAAATTTTGTTATTTTATTTTTATTATTTTTGAAACAATGTTTTGGTGCATTCTCTTTGTATCTTTATTGCAAAAAAAAATAATGTAGACTGGGAAGTTCCCTTTATATTTATGTTATAGTAAATATTTTATTACTCACATAAACATGTACCCCAGGGCTGTGTCCTGTTCTCTTTACTGCTAGGGCTTGGTGGGTTTTGGGGTGAAGTGATGGCATACCCTGCTTCACCTCCCTAAAGTTCTGATCTCACTAAGAGAGATCTTGGAGGAAGATGACCGTGCAGACCTAGACGGATATCAGGCCATGGGCAACAATTGGGCCCCTGCCTCAGGTGCATCAGTTTAGGGAAGATGAAGCCTCTTCATGTCCCCCCTGCTGTAGACAGACTCTCCTAGACCAAACCAGGGCCTGGGACAGTGAGCCAAAGACACCACATGGAATTCGGGTCAGCCATCGCTCATGCACAACTCAACTGCTCTTCTCGGCCAAGAAAGAAGCCTACCTCGGCCTGGGTCACCAGCCTAAAATCTATAATCCCCCACCTGACACCTCAACCCCCAACTTTTATTTCACCTTGCACTCTATATGAGGGGTATGGGCCAACTTCACCATTCCAGGTTCTAGGGCACCTGGCAGCCTGGTCAGGCCCCACCATCCTACTCCAGCAGGGTCTCCACCCAAAAACAAATGGTGCCCAAGCCTCCCTGGATCCACTGGGAGTTCTAACAGCTTGGTTTTGTGGTCCTGTGTGAGCTGGGTCAGCCTGGGGAGGGAGCTCTGCCAATTTGCTTGGGCAAAGCCGGTCCTACTTCTCTGCAAACAAACCACTGTCCCAGGTTCTCCTGGGGAGAAGTGGAGGCATGGGCAACTGTGCCACCAGAAAGATCTGATATCTCCTCTCCAAGGGTGGGTACCTAAGACCGTCACCACCACCACCGCTGTAGGGAGTGCAGGGGAGAGCACAAACATTCTCAGATACTGTCTTCTGGAGCGAGTCAGGATGTCTGGGGGCAGATCTGGTTTCAGGAGCAGAACCTCAGACTACCTGTGTTCCAGTCATGATCTTATTTTCTCCTTTAAAACAACTGTTCTTTAAAATACTAATAAAAGAGCTCTTCCTGCTTTCTCCGTAGACGCGGTTCTTTTCCCCTCTCAGGAAAAGCCACATGCAATTTCTCTCTTTGTGAAGCCAAAGCTTGAAGGCACAATCTCTTAGCTGGGGAGAAAGTTGTCCTTAGTGAAGGGATATGTGGGGCCCCTCCTGAAATTAAGCTGCCTGTGTCCAGGCCTGTGAGAGGCCTGGCCTCTAGCCAACAGCATCAGGGATGTCCAGAGAGGTGTCCCCAGGGCCCCAAGCTGGTGCTCCCTCGAGGGCTGGGGCCTCAGGATGACTGTGCCATACTGAGAGTTCCTGGTGACTTTCTGCGCTCGGCCCTCACTCTTGGAGGGGATTGTCTCTGCCTCGGTTTCTAGAGCCCCAGCCTCTCACTCCTTTGCTCCTTTTTTCTTTTCCTCCTCAGTCCAGCCAGGTGAGCCAATAGCCCTGTAATTGGCACCGGTGTCCCAGCTGTTCCCCACACTGGTGAGCCAGGTAGCCTGCCCTCCTGTGTTTCCTAAAGAGGAAGTGGGAACGAACAGGCCAGCCAGGCAATGGCACAGCCGGGAGCCACTGACCACCCTGCCTCAGCCTCTCATTTCCTGCTCCACTAAGTACAAAACTTTGAAGACGCCACACACTCTTCCCTCCTCTTCTTATTTCTCCATTCCTGGATTTGTCCCAGCCTCAAGGCTCTGAAATGGAAGCAAATGAAGCTGAGAGCTCCCGCTGCCTGCAAGGCCCAGAGCCTCAGCAGGTTTTGAGGTTGGAAAGGGCCACCAGGAAGATGGGGCCTTTCACTGGCCTCTGCCTGCAGCTGACACCAATTGATTGATTGATTTCCTAATTGTCTGCTTAATCCTCTACAAGAGGGTGGGTTTATTATTTAAGCAAGTCAACTCAAAAACAGCAAAACAAAGCAAGCTCCCGAGAACCAGCAGCAGCTGAGGAGTAGAACAAAAAAAATGAAAAAAAAAGTGGGAAAAGGGATGGAAGAAAATCTTTTACTTTGCAAGGATTTGGCTTAATGAGACACCAGCGTGGGATAGCTACCTGGTGACCAACCCCTTGGTCGCAGAAGGCCCCTAGACAGCAGGAACCTTAGCACTTTATAGGAAGAGAAATCTTTTTCCCTGGATAGAACA